CGCCCCCACCGCCCGCCCGCCGCCCGCTTAGCCATGCTCGACCCCATAGACTTATCGCAGCTCACGATAGCTGCGGAGGCTGCCGGAGTCTGGCTGAATGCTACTGGAGGCTGGATGGAGGTCGAAATGAAGTCTGGCTGGACTCTAGCTGGACCGAGGCTGAACTGCTGTACTGCAGGCTGGACGGGAACTACTGGAGTTGGCTGGTTAAGTCAAAGGGCCTTGCCGCTGCCGCTTCACTGGGAAAAGGTCCTCAGCAGCCATTTTTTTTAGGCGCTAATGCTTTAGGACCTATCAAGAGGCAACCAGAGATGTCAAATATACTAGGACCATCATTGTAAATAAGCCATTGCAGCACTCGCACCCTCAAAAAAATCAGCCACATTAAAAAATGCCGCATTAGCACCTTTACTTTTCCAGCGTATTGCATCTGGAGGCCTTAGCCTGCGACACCGAAAAATTCACGGTCCGACGAAAACTATACTCTTATCAAATTTCAGGTAGCGAGTGGCAAGAGTAATTTTGGTTCTTATTGCAATCCATGCCCTGATGTCTGAATTTCGCACTTTACTTCCGAGCAGTTCCGGCTGGTTTCGGCACGTAAAACCTATTTCACCAACTTGGCCGGCGCTGCGTGGTGTGGCGGGCGGGCAGAGGGGCGGGCCCGAGTGAGGGAATTAAAGACGGCCTGAAAAATTCAGATGGCAGCAATCCGACGAAAGAGGGCGAGTAAGTAGAATGGGCTTTTGAGAACGACTCAGATGTTCCACCCACCTACACAAACACCCCGAACCGTCCACATCCTCTCTCTCTCTCTCTCTCTCTCTCTCTCTCTCTCTCTCTCTCTCTGTCCCTCTCTCTCTCTCCTATCCTCGCGTCTAAATCTTGCACGCCCCAGCTAGGAGTTGGCCCTGTTTAACACTTGCGGCCACTGCCGGCCGCTCGGAACTCTCTCCCCTCCCTCTCCTCTCCCGCCCCCTCCCTCCAGATCGCTTTCCATTAGGAGTTTGCCAACTCGGCCACACGGCGCATTTGCAGAGTCTTTTTCTCTCCCAGGGCCCCGTGGGGTCCCACAGGGTCTCCCTTGCCGTGATTCCACGTGGCAGGGGGGGGGGGTTCTTGTGGTGAATTGTGGGTTCCTGTGATATGGGTCCTAGTCCGCCCTGGGTGGGGGGGCTCCCCTAGTCCCGTGGGTGCCCCGTGGGTCCGCGTGGGGGGTTCCTGTCCCCGGACGAACCCTCGTGCCTTCACATACCCCTCTCTCACCATCTATATAACTCTCTCTCTCTCCCTCAGTCCTGCGGTCTGCAACCACTTTAGTCCCTCGCCGGCGCTGACCCCGCTTTTACTGTTCCTTTCTTATTCGAACCATTAGTTGGCGCCACACACACACACACACACACACACACACTCGCAAGTCATTAATGCCCGAAGGCCTCTCCTTTAATCCGCCCCCGCCACGCCACGCCTGGTCCGCCTGTCACCGCCACCTGCACACTTTCTTATTCTCACACACTCCCCCCTCCCCCCTTCCTCCCATGGCCCGCACTACATCCGCCGTAATAGGATTGCTCGCGAATCAATAATACATACACTCGGAGCTTGACACCCAATTCCTCTGCCCACCGGTGACTCTGGTTGGGGGGGAGGGAGGAGGGGGAGGGAGGCGGGCGACTGGAAGCTCGGGAGGCAGGGAGGGATGAGGGGGAAGAGAGAGGGAAATAGGGAGTGAAAGAGAGATAGGAAAAAGGGAGGATGTGCTTGCGCCGAGCGCCTCCTCACACTCCCGACATGACATCAGCAAAGCAGCAGAGCAGCAGCAGCAGCACGGCGATCAGATTTAGATATGCGGCTCGCAAGCGATATGCGGCGTGTCACTCATGCCGTGAGAGGGGGGAGGGGAGGGGGGATATATATCGGGGGGATTGAGATGGAGTCGCGGGAAAACTCAAACACAATCCCCCCCGCCCGCTGCCGCTGCTACAGATCACGGTGGTTGGTCCCCCATAGCTTCGGATTGAAGTCAACGAGGAGCGGGAGCCTTGCGCTCATCGGTCCACGTCCCGTCCCGCACGGAGCGCGCACGGGGGCTCCTCCTCCTCGGCAGGGAGCTGCTCAGAGGCCCTCTGCGCGCCCTCATCTGTTCCTGCCGCCGCGGGCTAATGGGCCCTGTAATGACACACCGTACCCGCCGCGCACCCGAGGCGCACCCCCGTGAGCGAGCGCCCCCTCCTCCAGGTGGATTTCGTGCGGACAACGAACGACGACGCTTCCTCGTTATAGACAAGCTGATCGTGCGCGGGACGGACGACGACGACGGTGTGGTGGTGGTGGGTGTGCAGAATCCGAGATGGGTAACTCGACACGATGACCGGAGGCGCTTCGAGACACCGGCGATACGGGGCGGGCCATCAGCTGATTGCTTTTACCCAAACAAATCTGTTTGACCCCCACTCCCTCTGCCTCTTCCCCTCGGGCTCCTGGAGCTGGCCTAGGAGGTGCGAGCGACACCCGAGCCCTCTGCTATTTGCCGACCTACCACAACCTGTCGCTCGGTCCAGCACCCCCGCGGCCAACTCCACCTAATTCCAGATCTTTTTTTTTCTTTTTTTTTTTTTCACACGGAACAAAATATTTGTGGGGTTTGCGCGAAAATTTTCCATGAGAAATCTTTGTAGTAAAGATTTGACAATTGTAAAATTTA